AAAATCTTCAAATCTTCAACCAATTCACCATGAACATTCATAATATCTTCAAATATTCATAAACTCCTCAAGAACACCAAGATCCAACCGTGAACACCATAACCTCCAATCATAAACCCCATTTTCCATTTGAAAACTCATTTCCAACATCTCCAATTAATTCCAATTTAATTGTAAGTCCTTCTTATATAATTAAATTATTATTTAACCTATTATTTACATTAATATCTTCCTAATTTAAATACGGCGTTGAAAATAATTATTTTAGGATGGCATTATTTGTGTGCACGCCTACTTGGGGATCGTCTCTACAACTCGCTAATTCAAGTTAATGCACATTCAAGGTGAGATCATAGCTATACGTTTTTAATATTTTAAAGGGGGTGGGGGGGGGGGGGGTACAAGTAAAACACAAGGACTTTTGTGTTTATTCCAACATTTTTAAACGGTGTTAAAACCTTTGCAATTGTTTCAAAACGAGCCCTCGCTACACTTCCTAAAAATATTTTATATATTTTAGCCATTTTGTAATATGTCAAGCCTAAGGGAAATTGCTTTCATACTATTAAATTGCAAATGTTTTCATTTCACTATGAGACATACATTTAAACTATAATTAGTATATATAGTTTGAGATTCGTTACATCATTTTGCTAAGTACCATACACGAAAGAAGAACGTATAATCAAAACTATAATATGTATAGTTTAGGAAACACTGCTCTAATATATTGACACTAAAATACACTATTAAAATAATTATTTAAGTATAATTATTTTACACTACAAGGTACATTAATACGAGACAATACATACAGTTTCTAATACAAGAGAACACTACAACATTACATGTAAACTAGTTAATTCAGAGTTGTGATGCATTACTTCACTAGTATCCACCAAGATACGAAACTAAATCCTATACAGTATAATCATAGTTTCCTGGAGGGAGAGCGTGAGATTTGTGTATAGATCTATACGGGACTGAAAATCCCACATATAAACTGCTAGCTACAGTTAGGTTGGCAAGCATGGGGTGACAAATATTATAACTTTCAAACACTTGAAGAACGTCTTAGAGGTCACTAGGTCATATCAAGAATGGTTATATGAAACTCACAACATTATAACTAAAACATTTGTTTACGGGGCTAACATTACTTCATTGGTTTTATTTTCATAAATAAAATTACGGGAGACAACTTTACACTATAGCTGGCAATTACCAGACATTCATACTAAGGTTTTTATACAAATACTATTACGGTACACTACTTTCACTACAACTGGTTGTAACCAAGTATACATACAAAGGTTTTCATACAAATACAGATACAATACATCGTCTTCTAGTACTAAGTATACTAATACAATATACATTTACAAGGAACATACATGACTACATTACATTCACTATAGAAAATATTGGATTTTTTGGAGAAACAATACTAATATTTTTAAAGTTGAAAGACAAGTTCTCCATCACTAAAACATATTTATGAACCCACTAACTTAAATGTTGACACACTTTCAAAATCACTTGTATTCTCAAGGAACCGATAAAATAGGTACACCCGCAAGATTTTGAGAAGACGGAGCTTTCTAGGGTCGCATCTTTTATACTTTTGTTATATATTTTTGGATGTCATACAAACTATGTATTAAACAGATGTAAATACTTTACCCTATCAATGTAATGGTTGTGTCTGCTTTGATCCCTAGTATACAATTGTTGTGATATTGTACATGATGTTCTCCGCCCTCGAACGTTTCCACCATTCCAGTTTGGGGGTGTGACAAATTGGTATTAGAGCATCGTTTATAGTGAACTAAGTATATCAAACCTTACATGATATACAAATATAAACAATAAGGGGCCATAACGCTTTGAACTAAAAGTATACTTTTAAAATCTAAATTTTTTATAAGAAGTATACTAACACTACATACATACCAGAAGCAACATCACAAGAAGAACAAAACAAAAGTATCTAGATGTTGGACACTACAGTTAAACCTGGATAGTTATATAATCATATCCAGGATAAATATAGCTTGATCAACTATATTTATTTGAGATACGACTAACATGTGTTTGGGAGTGATACTGGTGTTGCAGCAAGTCTAAAACCTACCAAACTCTATACAAAGGAAACAATAGAATTGAACATACATTAAAAAATACTACAGGAGTATTTTGTAGCACTATGATACTAGAGCCAAACACATGAAAATAAAGAATTCTTGCAGATAATTCTATAATTTCTAAGTGTATATATAGGTTATATATAAATAAAATATCGTAGACTTAGAATAGGTGATTTAACTTTACTTTATGTTCCTTGTTTGGTTGTGGAATTAGAGTAGGATCACTTAATCAAATATTTATTTGGTCTTAGTTATATATAATTTATGTACACTATGTGATGATAGAGGGATGAGGCACAAATCACATTAAACAAGTTTCATTCCAAGTGTTGCTATAAATTTCATGGTGATTACTTACTTGTATTAAGTAGACTTCCACTGCAAATCACTTGACAAAACACTATATCTGTCAGGATAAGATATACCCTAATCAATATCACCTGACTCATGACCTATATAGAGGATTTATCATCATTTTTCTCATAAATTATTTTAGAGAAAGATGCCTCCGAAGAATTCCAATCGAACAACAAGCCACCCCCGCCGCCACCTCCTCAGTACGATCCTATTGTCTTCCAAGCAACAGTAACAGCCGTCGTGGCTGCCGATATGTCACAAATCAATGCAAGTGGCACTAGCTGGTTGGGTAGTTGTGCCAAACCATCAAACCAAGGAGATAGTCGCGGACACCCAAGGGAGTGTTCCTACAAAGACTTCTATAACGCCAAACCTCGGTTATTTAATGGCACTGGAGGTGTCATTGCCCTAACTCGCTGGTTCGAAAAGGCCGAATCGATCTTCAAGATCTATGCATGCCCCGAGACGAGCAAAGTAAAATTTGCAGCATGCACATTCACTGATAAATCACTAACTTGGTAGAACAACCAAGTCAAATCCCTAACCCTCCTGGTAGCTAATGGTATGGGTTGGGAAGATTTGAAGGAATTTATGCTCGCCGAATACCGCCAACGAGGCGAAATGCAAAAACTAGAGCAGGAGCTCTGGAATCTGAAGATTAAAGGTTCTGATATCGCTGCTTACACTGCTAGGTTCAGTGACTTAGTTTTTTTGTGTGGCGGATGGTCACCCCGGATAGCAAGAAGGTGGAGAGGTACATATGGGGATTGACTCTCCCAACTCAAGGGAATGTCTTAGCTACTAAACCACCCACATTCGATAGTGCCAAATGCCTGGCACAAACCTTAGTGGATCACGGGGAAAGCTACTACCCCGTAGCAGCCGCTCCCAAACCACCGAAAGAAGGTAGTGGAAAGAAAAAGTTCTGGAACAAACGCAAGGGCCAATCTTCGTAGTATCCCTACAAGAAACAACAAACAGTGACAGTCCATGCTACTACCATTCCCGCTGCTGTTCCCACTACTCAAGCACCTCCCAGCTGATACGATGGAACTCTCCCTAGGTACGACAAATGAAACTTTCATCATCATGGGCCTTGTCGGGATTTGCAGTGCACTAGCTGCAACAAGAAGGGGCATGCATCCCGCTTCTATAAGACACCATCAAAACCAAATGCCTAGACCCCGGGAGTTGGAATTGACCACGCCTATTATGGGTGCGGTGAAACCAGACACTACAAGAAGAATTTCCCTAAGGCAAGAGACGTCGGAAACACTGGAAGAGTGCTAACCATGGGTCAGGATGAGGTAGTTGCAGAGCCCACCATAGTCACAGGTACGTTCCTCCTTGATAACTCTTATGCATGCATTCTCTTTGATAGTGTTACAGAGAGGAGTTTTGTTAGTCACAGATTCAAACATTTACTCAAACACAAATCCCAACCACTAAATGAAACATTCAATGTCGAGATGGCTAACGGAAATAAATAGAACACTAACGACGTATTCATAGGTTGTACCCTCACTCTAAATGACTATTCCTTTTCAATCGATCTTATGACGGTTTCCACAAAGAGCTTCAATGTCATCATTGACATGGATTGGCTAAGTCCTAGTTGTGCTGATATTATTTACTACGAAAAATCCATTCACCTCAATCAGCCAGAATGGCGAAGCCCTCGTTATCTATCGCGACAAACTCAACACGAACCATCGTATCATTTCGTGCATCAAAGCTCAAAAATACATGTGAAAGGAGTGTCACGCGTTCCTATCTCATGTGGTTAATGAAAAACTATAAGTTAAGTGTAACACCCGTTTATTTATTAGTTAAATAAATAAAGTAATGAATGAATATACGCCCTAAAATAAATAATTATATATCAAAGGATGCTCTCGACAGGGCTAATTATCAAGAATGTTAGGAGTCGGGGTCTAAAAGGTAAAATCTGGATCTACTTTGATATAAATGAGAGCTGGAGGGACCTATCTTGCCGTTATGGTAATATGTTTGTGTCCATCGGGTATATATTGAATATGAAACCCTAACCCCAAGCAATTTATGTAACAGCCGACACCCACTCCCTTTCATCCTCCAACCGACATCTCCTTCACCCTCATCTTGAGTTGCCGCTTCCTCCACCGCCGAGACCCTAAACCATCGTCGTGCCCCTATTGTTGGTGACAACAAAGACCACTGGTGAAGCCGTGAGGCCGTCGTTGTTGTCTCACTGCCGACGGAGAGTGTTGTACCGCCGTTGCTGCTACTTGCCCATTGTTACGTCGTCGCTCGCGTCATCGCCCCTTCCTCCGTCTTTCTCTTACTGTGTATCAGGCCACTGACACCGTGTTGGAGCCATAAAACAATCGAGACCACAACCAGTGTACTCCCCTTACTGCTTCGGTTATCGTTTACCACCCCTAAGGGGACTTTTGTATTCGCATGAGCATGCCTTCTGTCGAGTAATGTCGTGAAGAACCACCATGGCAGCCGACCATGGTGGTTATTTCCATCAACACCGCTATTAACCGTTTTTGCCGCCTCCTCGTGTCACCACCACCACTATCGCCGTCAATGGGTGGTTGGCTTCCTTTCCCGAGCAAAGAAGTGAAGATGTGTGTGTTTCAGTTGGAGTGTGTGTATGGCCGAAGCTCTCGGAAATGGCATCACCCCACCATAGGATGGTGGCTGTCGCCACTCACCACCGCCGACAACCAAGGTGGTTATGTGTGTGTGTTAGGAATAGTTAGTATGTGTGTTAAATTGGTATTTTCATTGTAATTGTAACAAAAAAATATGGAATAATGAAAAGAACTTGAAAACCACCACCTTAGGGTGGTAGTTGCCATCACCGGCCACCGTGTCGGGTGGCGGTGTGCTTGTCTAGTGAGTTTGATTCGTTTGGGGTGCTTGAAACCCTAATGGGCCTTGTAAGCCCTAATGGACCCTAATTGACCCAAATAAAACCCTAATGGGCTTAATGATATTATAGTGGGCCTAAAAGGCCCAATAAAGCCCTAATTGACCTAAAAGCCTAATAAATTGATAAACGGACTGGTATTTGGGTTGGAAACCCTAATTAGGGTTTGGAAAACCCTAATGCAATGAAACCCTAATTTGGGGAACTAATAAGGACACACATGACTTATTTGATAACTTGAAATATCAAGTAGTAAGCAATGGCAAAAATTAATCTAAGCAATATTGGACTTAATGGATTAAGTCCTTAGTGGATTAAGCCCTTAATGGGTTAAGTAGGAAAATTAACCCTAATCATCATTTTATAAGAAACCCTAATTTCACTTGGGTTATTGTTTGGCCTTTCTATTGGGCCTTGATGGTTGACTTATTAATGGGCCATCCAAAGTCAAGCAATTGGACTAGAAAATTTTAATGGGCCTAGGGTAAGGCCCATGCAAGGGGCTTGGGCCCAATTTGGAAAATTAGGCCATAGATGAGCCATAGTTTGGGCCTTAATGATTATATGATGCCCTTAGTCGAAAGGAGTACTTAGGTCGTAGGGTGAAGGCACTAACCATGACAATCCATTCCCACCTGTCGACACAAATTAAAGAGGCTAAGCTAGAAATTTAAAACCAGAACATGTGGCAGGGGAAGCCTTGCGAAGAATGGAGAAAAACTTTGAGATCAAGGGAGACGGAGTTCGTTATTTTCATGAACCGGATCTAGACCTCAAAGTTCGGTGGTTATAAGGAGGTCGTCATGAACAAAGCCCACAAAACTCGATACTACGTTCACCTAGGTTCAAATAAGATGTATCTAGATCTCTAGAAACTCTATTTGTGGCCAAACATGAAGACGGAGATTGCTACCTACATGGGCAAGTGTCTAACTTGTGCCAAAATAAAGGTAGAATATCAAAAGCCATCATGTTTACTTTAACAACCAGAAATACCTGAGTAGAAGTGGGAGCGAATCACAATGGAATTCGTTACAAAGTTGCCCAAGACGCTGGGTGGTCTTTTTTACTATCTGGGAGATCGTCGACAGATTGACCAAGTTAGCCCACTTCGAGACGCAATGGCCCGCTGATGAGCTTTTGGTCAAGTATCAGTACATATCTGATTTCTTCATAGCCTTCGCCTATTTCTCCATTCCATTAGACATTTTAGAATGTTGACACATTAAATCAGAAGCACACTTGATAGGCACATCATATTGAAAACTACTATGAGTACACAAACTTCACCTCACTATATAAGCCAAATCATCAACATCCATACACCAAGGGTATAATCGTCATTTAGCTTTATTTCATGTTCCTTTTTTTGGTTGTGGACTTACGGTAAAATCATCATTTGACAGTCTATGTGATCTTATTTTGTGTATAACTTACATGCATAAGACAACCAACGGTGTTGATTAAGGTTATTTGTATTGCGAGCGGTGGGAATTAAAACTTCCTAAGAGAGCTTAGGATATATATGTTGTTTAGCATAGGATTGGTATATGCTTTTAGTGTGGTGACTTAGAGGAATCAATACTACTTTTGAGGAAGGTACATGTAAGTGTGAAATGTAGTATTAAATGTGTGAGCACAAGACCTATACCTGAGACAATAATAAACCAAACTTAGTGGTTATGAAATTATATTAACAATTATACCTGACATATGCACACCTCAAAAAACCGACCATTAAATAGTAAAAACCATGGCTAAAATTAAAGACGGTTACTAAATAGTTATAGAATAAACCGTTGGACGACATTTTGGACAACATTTTTCAACATTTAAGATTTAAGTTTAATGGTTTGGTCCCATAATTTGATTTTTGTTTTGAAATACATACCTTTGTCATAAATTTACAAAATCAACAGAATTTAATTGAATCTTAATATTTTTCAATTAAACGTATGTCATAATTTCATTCTCCAAAATATAGTAAAAGTATAAAACAAAGTAATTGCATTTAAAAGTAAAACATGAAAAATCTATAGTTGAAAGTCTCGCGGGAGATCCATACTATTCCTTAAAGAAATTTTAAAAAATTTGGAAATCACAAAACCAAATAATCGGACTCATCTCCCGCGGATAGCGATTTAGCAAATCTAGTCCGTTGAAACAACACTCCATCCAACGGTTAATACAAAGGTATGATCGATCCCAAATTCCCCGCCATCCACCTCCCTCTCTACATAACCAAACCATGTCTACGATTGTTCTTCATCGATTATCGAACAATTCATTCATTACTGAACAATTCATTCGTCGGCATACAGAAAATGGACGGAGATGGAAAAGTTAAGAAGGGCGCCGGAGGAAGGAAGGCAGATGGTCCGAGGAAGAAGGCCGTTTCCCGTTCTGTCAAAGCCGGACTTCAGTTTCCGGTTGGTAGGATTGGGCGTTTTCTGAAGATAGGACGTTATGCTCGGCGTGTTGGAAGTGGTGCTCCAATTTACCTCGCTGCTGTTCTTGAATACCTTGCTGCCGAAGTAAGTTTTGTTTTCCAATCTCTTTGTGTATGGGTATCATAACTTCAATAAGGATCTGATAATCAGCTATTCAAGTTACAGCTTAATTTAGGGATTTCGTAAAGCGATGTCACAGGGGATTATGATAATTCACCTAACATCTTTTAATCTGTTTGATTTTTGTTGATTGTAGTTGTTGGAATTGGCTGGAAATGCTGCTAGGGATAATAAGAAGACAAGAATCATTCCAAGGCATCTTCTTTTGGCAATTAGAAACGATGATGAGCTTGGGAAATTATTGGGTGGAGTTACGATTGCTAATGGTGGTGTTCTTCCAAATATCAACCCTGTTTTATTGCCAAAGAAGACTGCTGCCAAAGAGCCTAAATCCCCATCTAAAGCTACCAAATCTCCTAAGAAAGATAAGAAGGCTGAATAGATTACTTTGTTAGAATTGTAGTTTTTGTGTTAGAATCATATAATTAGTTGTATGTTGACGTTGATCAAGATTTAAGGAATGAAACAACTTGTTTCATAATACGCTGACATATAGATTTTCTTATTGAATGAGTTAACTTCATGATTATTATGTTTTTAAAAACAAATTGCATAGAAATCAAAACCTCAACCAGTAAATTGACAGGTCAATTATAAAATGTAGATAACGCCAACCACTAATTTTTATTATAATGTTGCGATATAGATTTTCTTACTGAATGAGTTAGCTTTATAATTATTATGTTTTTTCAAACAAATTACATAGAAATCAAAACATCAATGAGTAAAAGGTACATAAAGCCAATCGTACATGCATCGCATTGGTCTCGAAGGACCATGTTGCGCAAATTGGACCTATTTGGAATTAAAAAGGTTTTATTGGTTATTAGAAGGATTGTGTATAACACTTCTTTCGACTTTAAGATTGTGAGGGATGGCAAAAAAACCCGAACCCGACGGGGAAACCCGAAACCCGATCATTTCGGGTCGGGTAACGGGTCGTTATCGGGTTTTTTATCGGGTTCGGGGCAGGGAGTGAGTTATCCTCGCCCCGCCCTGATTATATATATATATATATATATATATATATATATATATATAAATATGTTTTAAAAAATTTGTTGTTAATTGTACACGTTCAAATATAAAATATTTATCGTGGACAATTTTTTTAGTTATTAACAATCTGGTGTTAATGATCATTTTTATGTGTTTTGACGTATTAAACAAAACTTAAATCAAATAATTTTTTATATAACGTCCAGTTTATTTTATTAAAGTGATGCATCATGTTTTTAATTTAAAAGAGTTGTTAGAACATGTATATTTTATAAGACATTGGGGTACCCTAAAAGAGAATAAAGATTTCGTTATCAGTTGTTGTAAACCCGATAAGATACCCGAAACCCGACGGGGAAACCCGAAACCCAATGGGACGCCCCAATAAGATACCTGAAAGTTATCGGGGCGGGTTTGGGAATCGATGCCCCGCCCCGAACCCGCCCCATTGCCATTCCTAATTGTGTATAATGAAATCTAGGTTATGATGATAGTCTTCAAAGAATATCAAGACACTAATATTAAATGATGTACTAGACAATTTATAGGAGTTTGAATTCTTTTGTGATATTTATAAGACTATAGAGATTGATAGTATTCCTAACATTTTGTCGTATGAGAGCGGGTTTATCCATGGAATATTTTTATTGGGAACTGGTAATCTTTTGCAATCCGTCACCCCTTATCATTTATTTATCCTCTTCTCCGATGATTTGACATTTGACACACATATATATCTTCTCTTCTAATAAATAACTTTTTAAATTGACACATGGTGCCTCCTTAAACATTAACTTTGACACGTGTCCTGTTTCTAAACCTCTTCTCCTATTAATTCCCGCTCAAAGTTAATTTACTATCTAACCCTATTTTTTGGTGCTTAAATTCGATTTCAAACGTTCAACTTTATATCCGAAAAATCAGCAAAGAAATCCCATAAAATCAACAATCACCGAGATATTTTGGTGTTAATTGGCAAGGTGAGAAGCAATTTTATGGCAATCCATTCCAAAATATATTCTTACGATCCAATTTACGATTCCAATCTGTTTCTGTCCATTTTACTTATGGATTGCTGCTACAGTTAAAAGTTAAAAGGTCTTGAGCCCTCTACTAAGAAGGATTGTTGTTTATAGTAAGTTCTTCGATTTTATCATTTTTGTGTTTTGATTTGTATAAGTACTTTGTTATTATATATACCATTTCAATCGGTAGTATGTGTTTGTTTCCATGTCACTTATTGAGTTGTTGATGTGGTGTGTTTCGTTTTTTGTCGTGTCACTCAGTTATTTGTTTAAATATTTTACCTTCTTTTTTTCATCCACCATGTGTTCGATAAAACGCCTAAGAGAACCATCTCTTTTTGTATGACATTGACTGGCTTTATAGAGTTCCCCATGTTCTTTAATGACTTTAAAACTGCAACATCTATTTCTTTCTTATTTGTAATTTGAATTGGACGTAATGCTACTTTTAAAGTATGTTCTCAATCAAATTATTAATTGAGAATCAACTATCTGGTTTGGTTTTGATCACAACAACAGAAAGAAGTTGATTCTCAAAGTTGAAAAAAGTTAAACCTTCTAACAGAAAAGTGGAGGAAAATTTACATTATTAGAGCCTTCTATTTTGCAATGAAGCCATTTCAGGTAAATCTTCTTGGCAAAATATGAACTGACAACTGAATGATGCACATTTTCCCATAAAAATTCAATTAAAATAGAATTATTTTTCTATTTTTGGTTCTTTAGGTACTATCTGACTTTGTAATTTATTATAACCAGAGACTCTTTTATATCCAAACTTTATCTCTTCATTGGCTCAATTTGTCTCAACTAATCCATAAGATCAAGTTTATTAGTGTAGATTGAAAAAGCAAATTAGTGGTGTTGTTTAATGAACATAAAAACCTGAGAGTAGGGCGATATATGTGATTCGTTCACAACCACTTTACAACCAATGAAGTTGTTTTTTTGTTGGGTTTTAATACCATATAATCAAACCTAAGAGAGTTTTCCCACAGTAATCTACAATGGATATCCTTACCTTATGTTGAGGTTGATTGCTTTTGCAGATCATATCCATTTCATGAAAAGAAAATAAGCTAAACATGGTTGATACACAATTTTTTTTTTTTTTTAAATACCCACATTTTATGGAATGCCCCATTATTAGTAAATAACTACAAGTTAACTACCTAAATATTTAAAGTACTCCGAGTTTGTAAATTTCTTTTTAAGACTACCTTTTTGTATCCGGTTATAATACAAGCAACTAAATTTTTTTGATTATTCAGTTGATTTAGTCGTTAATTTTTCTAGCATGTGAATTCATAGTTACTTAAACTATAAACAAGTCCTTAGAGCATACATGTTTAGAGCAGTGATTGAAGTTTCTAAATAGAGTATTTCATAAACTACATAAAATATTTCAATAAAAGCAAATTGTCTTTAAACATAAAAAAATTCTTAAAGTTGAATAACATATTTTTTAGATAAAAATAACATAAAAATCATCTCGGTTTAAGACGAGCTCGATGCAGTTAGACTATGCTCTTCCTTTATTTACCATCAAAGTACCTTAGAATGTTAATATAAAATGGGTAAGTGAAATGTGTCGTGAACACAATGCATCCATACATTTACCACAAATATCGAAACATACAATTCTCTTATTGCCTTTGGCAAGGACAAGACACTATTATCCAGTAACGGAGCTTGAACTTTAGATTTGGGGGGCCGAAAGTATAATAAATATGAAATGTGGAGAACCGGGGGGGGGGGGGGGAGCCAAATTTTATAGCTTTTGAGTCTAATATGTAAAAATTTTAATACTTACTAATTGTGACAAAAAAAACATGGGGCCATAGCCCCTCCTGACCCCCAAGAAGTTTCGTCCGAGCTGTTACCATATACATGAAAGCTATCATAACACTCACGATAGTCTTACATGCATTTACGGATGTTATTATGCCGCAAAAATAATAGTTTTACATCCGCTACAAATGCTACACTCTTACATAATCTTATATGGCCATATATAACACTATCATCCATGTAATCACATACTATTGCCCAACGTGGCTTCCCGATTCATACTATTGGTTCTATTAATGATTTTGTAACATGACCGGTCCATGTAGGTTGCCTTTTTACACCGATGGTCACTTATCCATATGAAAATACCATATTACGACATACTTATTGTTTCAGTCATATCCACTATTACGACATTAACATTTATATTACAACTGAGTTTGTACATGGTTACCAGTTTATAAAAAAATAAAATTAGAGGAATAGTACTTTATGCCTATTGCTGCTATATATCGAATTATTACAAACATGATCATGCATCTGAATAAACTACTTCGTATGAAAGATGAAATAATGTGTACACGAAACATGTTTATTATGATCATAAAACAAATATCTGTTATATTGGAGAGTGATGATGTATTGTCAATTAATTATTGTTTTTATTTTTATCATAAAACTGATATTTGTTATATTGGAAAGTGATGATGTATTGTCAATTAATTATTGTTTTATTTTTATTTTTATTTTTTTTATCCAAATTCATGTTTTTAATACTACTCGATGCCTATTGCTACTATATAGTATTTTTAACATCACCCAAAGAAAATAAGGCCATTCGTAATGGCGTATTTGGAAAACACGTGGTTAGTCTCTTTAGCGGGATAGTCAAAATATTTCACGCGGATCGCTATCTAACAAATCAAGACCGTCGATTAATCACTCCATCCAACGATGGTTACAAAGCTATCGATCTCGTGTCACCTCCATCCACCTCTACAAAACCAAACCATGTCAACACCAGTTCTTCATCCCTAACGAAAAATACGCTAATTTCTCACTGTTTATTCATCGCTAAAAGAAAAATGGAAGGCGTAGCAAAGTCAAAGAAGGGTGCCGGAGGAAGAAAGGCCGGTGGTCCAAGGAAGAAGGCGGTTACCCGCTCTGTCAAGGCCGGACTCCAGTTTCCCGTCGGTAGAATTGGGCGTTTTCTGAAGAAAGGACGTTATGCGCAGCGTGTTGGAAGCGGTGCTCCGGTTTACCTCGCCGCTGTTCTTGAATACCTTGCCGCTGAAGTAAGTTTTATTTTCACATCTCATTTCATTAAGCTCAACGTGGATATCGTAAATCGATGTTTACTGGCTTGATTTGAATCAAACACAGAACATGGAGCTTAGATCTGATTTCCGAAGTTCCTATTTTTTTAAATGTTTATATTGTTTCTAATTTGTGGATTATTTTTCTAATCTGCTTGATTTTTGTTGATTGTAGGTGCTAGAGTTAGCTGGAAATGCTTCTAGGGACAACAAGAAGACCAGAATCATTCCAAGGCATCTTCTGTTGGCCATTAGAAATGATGAAGAGCTTGGGAAATTATTAGGTGGAGTTACGATTGCTCATGGTGGTGTTCTTCCAAATATCAATCCAGTTCTATTGCCTAAGAAGACTGCTGCCAAGGAGCCATCAACTCCATCTAAAGCTGCTAAATCTCCAAAAAAAGCTAAGAAGGCTGAGTAAATTATTGACGTTAGAGTTTGTAGTTCTGTTTTGGTTAAGATCACATTATAAGTTTGTATGCTGATGCTGATCAAGATTTAATGAGTGAAACGACTTGTTTCTTACAATTCTCGCTGCATATACATTCGTATGATTTAATCACTTGTTCCTATGCTTGATCCATCGTTTATCTTCATCTGGCACGTAAATTTCTGAATTAGATCATTAATTAATAGAACCATTATATGGGTTTAATAAAACAAAAAAAAAATATGTACGAGGTTTAAATAAAAATTTATTTAAATTTGAATTTAAAAGGAAAATTATATGAGTTGTAATATTATAATTTATTGATTATTTTTAATTATGACAATCATTAATTAAAACATAAATATGATCTATAACAAATGAATGTTTTTTGTTATATGCTATCTTCTCATTTATTTATATACATAGTATTTTTTAGAATTTTTAAATTTTTTATTTTTTACTTTTAATTTTATTAAATTAAGTTTCACATTTAATATATAAAGTAATACATATCTAAAGTATTTATTAGAAAAAAGTTTATATATGTAATGTATTTAATACATTAAAGAATAATTAATTTTAATAATTCAAAAAAAAAAATTTTTTTTTTTTATTAATTCAAAATTCTTATTAATTTTAATTTTTTTTTTTAATAAGCTCATGTAATACATAGGTCTCACACCTACTGTGAATTAAGAAAGATAAAAAAATAGAAAGATAACAAATAGAAAAAATATTTATTTAAAAATACAACAAAATGATAAGTGTCAAAATTAATAAGAAATCGATATATGGTAAAAAAAACTTAATTTATTAAATTATCAAAATTATGTCAATTACGAAACATTTTTCCCACATAAAATAAAAGGATGTAGTCATCATCAAATTTACACATAAAACATGTAAAAAAATTGATACACCTCAATCTAAACAATGTCCATATTTATTTAATATTTTCTCCTTTTCGTCCTAGAACTTTTTTTCAAATAAAAATATAATAAAATAAATGTTGCATTAGTACGTGTCTTATGCACACTTATGTTTTAGAGTTTCCATATTGAAGAAGATTAAATCAAATATTAGGCAAAGGAAACATGTCTTAGCTTAGGAATACAAGAAACCAAGTCAATTTATTTTACATATTTTTCAATCAAAACTATGTTGTTTTAATCGTTTTATACGAAACATTAGATTTAATATAAGTTTTAGTGACTAATCTAACCTTTTTTTTTTTGTTTCGGTTTTCGTTTTGGTTTTTTTTTTTTTTTTTTTTTTTTTTTTTTTAATTATAACTTTTGTTTTTTTTTTTTGCAAAATGACCATTTAGTTTGGAAATGCACAATCTAACCATATTAACTCTTTATCTTATAAATACTTTTTAACCTGTTCAGTACCCTGTTTATTTGTTAATTAATTATTTATCAATTCATTTATTCGAGTTTATACATATTACATGACCTACAAATTGTCTTTAATTTCAAATTATTAATTTTCTTTTTAACCATATTCTATTATTGTTATTACATACCAAACAAGAAGATGAATGCAATAGAGGTTAGGAAGAGAACAAAAAACAGAAAGTTATATTTGGATTACAGGAAATCCAAAAAACAATATACCATATCAACTTCTCTTCGTACACCAACTGCACATGTTATTCATCGTACTCAATCTGTAGTTTTCTTAATTTCTTTTGCATTTATTATATGTTTTATTTATTTATTTTAAATATGTTATTAATTATTATTTTAAAAATATATTAAAATTAAATTAAGATATATTTAACTTTATTTAAGAAAATATTTCTTTAAAATTGTTTTCTACTATTTACAGGTTCAAATAGTATTACACACTCTACAACAACTAAAGAGGAGAAAAATTAGAAAACTATATTTGGATAATAGAAAATCCAAAATATTAAATATCATATGAACTCATCAAAATTCATCTATTACACATGTTTCTTACATGTCGAATAACGGTATTTTTTTTTGTTTATTTTTAAATTTATTTTTAAAATAAAAATTATATAAAATTTGCACGACTTTTTAATTTACAGTTTTGTAATAATAATAAGGGAAATCTGCGAAAAAGTCCCAATATTTTAGGCCAGTTTACGATTTAGTCCCAAATTAAATTTTGTTTACAAAAAAGGACAGATTACCGGCTAAAACTTCGGATTAACCCTTCGTGGCCGGTTTCACAGATTTAGCCGGTATCTCGTCTTTTTTCGTTAATTAATCAAAAATTTAGGGCTTTTTCATTAATTAATCAAAATTTTAAGGCTTTTTCATTATTTATTACCAATAAACCAAAATATTTTGACTTTTCTGAAGATTACCTTTAAACTAATATATATTATATGATCTAATTTAATATGTACTATTCCATGTCTTTTTTCTTATGCTCTTCTAGGCTCACTGTGTATTTTTATCGGTGTCGTCAAACCCAACAACAAAAATATTACTCACAAGCCTCGTTAACTCCATTGATTTTCCAAAATTATCCATTCACAACTCTATGATCATCTTTCAATCTCCAAATAAAGAACGGAGAAAATCCTTATTGATTACGTGGATGCCCATATTACCTAACCATGACTTCAACTGTGGTTCCAACACTTGGATGTTCCTATTACCTAACCATGACTTGAATCCTATTTCGATCCATACACTAGTCGCATTGTCCATAGTGTTGTTCACAACAAAATACGAATCCACATGGTTTAACCACTGATACCTTGGCTCAAGTCTTACATGATCCTTGTTTCCTTACAATAGGGCTTGAAAACCATGAAGAATGAACCATTAATCTTAAAAAACTCAACATATGTAAAAAAATCAACTCGATATGATGTATTGAAAACCATGAAGAATGTTAACTCTAATTGTAAAAAAATGTCAACAAGCTATCCATCATAAACTATTAAAATATTAATTTGGTATACCTACGAGCTACGGTTCCAACACTCGGATGTTCCTATTACCTAACCATGACTCGAACCTTATTTTGAACCCATACACTAACGACATTGTCCATAGTTTTGTTAACAACAAAATACAAATCCCACATGGTTTAACCACTGATACCTTGGCTCAAGTCTTACTTGACCCTTGTTTCCTTACAATAGGTGTAACATCCCGACTCCCAGGTATAATATTTAATTAAGTTATATTCTTGTTGTCTGATCAACTTGACGAGTTGGAGGCCCCAACTCGCCGAGTAGAGAGTGTTAATGGTCGCGTAATTTCTAGAGTCTACTCGACGAGTTGGAGGACCCCAACTCGAGGAGTAGGAGCTAAGTGTGAAAACCCTAATTTTCAGGGTTTGTGTCTTGCCAAAAACTAATGCATTCTGGAAGCCCCAAATAAACTAAAATGTAATAATGACAATTATTGTAATATTACAATAATTGTCATTATTACGTTTTAGTCTATTTGGGGCTTCTAAAATGCTTTACTTTTTGACAAAAAAAACCAATAAATGATGAACCATGTGGGATTTATCTTATGTCGGGGCTTCTATAGTGTTGTAAGGAAACAAGGGCCAAGTAAGACTTGAGCCAATGTATCAGTGGTTGAACATGTGAGATTCGTCTTCTATTGTTAACAACACTATGGACAACGCCATTAGTGTATGGGTTCAAGTCATGGTTAGGTAATAGGAACATCCAAGTGTTGGAACCACGGTTTAAGTCATGGTTAGGTAATAGGAAACATCCACGTAATCAACAACGATTTTCTCGGGTTCTTTATTTGGAGATTGAAAGATGATCATAGAGTTGTGAATGGATAATTTTGGAAAATCGATGGAGTTAACAAGACTTGTGAGTGAGATTTTTGTTGTTGGGTTTGACGACACCGATAAAAACACACAGTGAGCCTAGAAGAGCATAAGAAAGAAGACATGGAATAGTACATATTAAATTAGATCATATAATATATATTAGTTTAAAGGTAATCTTCAGAAAAGTCCAAATATTTTGGTTTATTGGTAATAAATAATGAAAAAGCCCTAAAATTTTGATTAATTAATGAAAAAGCCCCAAATTTTTGATTAATTAACGAAAAAAGACGAGATACCGGCTAAATCTGTGAAACCGGCCACGAAGGGCCAATCCGAAGTTTTAGTCGGTAATCTGTCCTTTTTTGTAAACAAAATTTAATTTGGGACTAAATCGTAAACTGGCCTAAAATATTGGGACTTTTTCGCAGATTTCCCTAATAATAATAATAATAATAATAATTGTTATTATTAACAATTTTTTCTCATTGTATAACAGGTGTCTACATTCATGGCCGTAGATTAATATCTACATATAACTGTACAAATGTTTCCTTAGATAAGGAAAATATAAACTCGGTCAAATCTAGTTTATATCAACATACAATTATTAATCCACCTTCAACAAATATAAATGTTAAAACACCCTTTTCAACAATTTCAAATGATATGTATTTCTATATACACAAATATAAAAATATATGTTTCACATTTATATAACTCATAACAACTTCTAACATTCTAATTTGTATTTTAAATTTTTCAGCCAATTATATTCTTAATAATAACGTTCGAACACCACTATCTACTAATATAAATGTTAGAACTCCATTTTCTAACATTTCAAATGGTCCGTGCTTCTAAATACACCAATTTGAAAATATATGCTTCACTTTTATATCAATCATACGAATTACTAATGTTGTAATTTGTATTTTTTTTTTTCAGACGGTTATATATTCAATAATAACTTTCAAACACCACTATCTATTAACAAAGAAAATTTAGTGTTTGGTAATGCTTTGACATCTGACAATCGTTCGAGAATAATCCAAAATTCTTTCTCAATGAAGTTACTAAGAGGAAAACATCAATTAAAAAGGAAGACTCCATCTATATCCGTTATATCTATGTTTGACTTGACATCAACGGTATATCCAAAGGTGATCATAATTCTAAAAGTTTTGATATTATTAAATTTTATTTTATAATTTAGTTTTTTATTAATTTTTTATATTTTTTGCATTCAACAAATTACTTGGATCATGGAGATTAGATTGTTATATGTCAGATTTGTCATGCAAAATTATGGAAAGCTGAATCGATTAGAGGGCAGAAAAAAGTCAATACATCTTATTCCCTATGTTGCGGTAACGGTAAAGTTGAGCTACCATCCTTAAAAGAGGCACCGCCATCATACCGAAATCTGTATAGATTAGTAGAATCAAAAAGCAAACACTTCATGAAG